TGGTGCTACATTTGCCCCCATGGCAAAATTGACTACTGTTCGGTTGATTATTTCTCTGGCTGCGGAGTACTCTTGGCCTCTTCATTAATTAGATGTAAAGAATGCGTTTCTTCACGGTGATCTGGACGAGATTATTTATATGGATGCACCACCGGACTTTCGTGGTGAGGGAAAGTATGCTGGAAAGGTATGTCGACTACGTAAGTCTCTTTATGGACTGAAACAATCGCCACAAGCCTAGTTCTCTCGCTTTAGTGATGTAGTCGTACGATTGGGGTTCACTAGGTGTCATTTTGATCATACCTGCTTTATTCGACGGAATACTTCTAGACAGTGTGTCATTCTTCTGGTATATGTTGGTGATATTATTATTACTGGTGATGATGTTTCTGGGACTGCACAGGTCAAGATAGACCTTGGGAAGGCCTTCGATGTGAAGGACCTTGGATTTCTACGATACTTTCTTGGGATTGAACTTACCCGTAGCGGCAGGGGTGTTCTTTCTCAAAGAAAGAATGTTTTGGATCTTTTTTCAGACATTGGGATGTTGGGGTGCAAACCGGCATCATCACCCATGATTCTAAACCTAAAGCTTACTGCTAAAGGTGAGGAGTTGAAAGATCCGACAGTTTATCAAAGATTGGTAGGTAGACTTATCTACTTAGCCAATACTAGGCCGGACATTTCATTCGCAGTCAGCCGAGTTAGTCAGTTCATGCACAGGCCATGTCAGCCTCATCTTGATGCAGTTTATCATATTCTTCGGTACCTCAAATCTTGTCCTGGACTTGGGTTGTTTTATGTATCAGGATCTCAAACCGGTTCTCTAGCCTGTTATTCAGATTCAGATTATGGGGGAACATGTGATGGTCGATCTACTACGGGCTTCTGTGCTTTTTGAGGGACTCATCTTATCTCTTGGAAGAGCAAGAAGCAGACAGTTGTCTCCCGCTCATCAGCAGAGGCAGAGTATCGGGCACTGACACTTGGCACGTGTGAGATTATCTGATTACGATCGATTCTTGGCGAGTTGGGTTTTTTAGTGACCTCTCCTTCCACATTATATTGTGATAATCGATCTGCTATTCAGCTCGCTACTGATTCTGTACTACATGAGAGGACGAAGCATATAGAGATTGATGTTCACTTTCTTCGGGAGAAAGTTAGTAGTGGTATTGTCACTCTATCGTTTGTGGAGACCAGTGATCAGGTTGCGGATGTTTTTACCAAACTGGTCACTCTGTCTATTATTCGGGACTCCGTTGTCGAGCTTGACTTAGTTGACATTTTTGCGCCTAACTTGAGGGGGAGTGTTGGAGATATAGCAGCAGCCTAGTTTATTAGGGTTTTATTAAGTTTTCTTTTTTTACCTTTTTGTCCTTATGGTAACTCTCATTGACTATATATACGGGGCTCTACACTTAGTTTGTATCCCTTTTTTTACTCACATTAATTCCAAGTGAGATTTACTCCTTCACTGGCACAAATCATAGAGGTTTTGGCTCAGAGCATTGTTTCACCTTCTAACGTGAATTCTCATACAACTATGACATTCTTATGAGGAATTGACCAAGTGAAAGCCATTGTGTTTTAGATGGTTTTTTATTTTTGTTGGAGTATAATCTAGTTTATTAGGGTTTCTTTTCTCTTTTTTACCCTTACTATGACTTTATATTTTTGCTAGACCACAAGGATGTTTAGGTCATTTCGTATTATTATTTGACTATATATATAGGGGCTCTACTCTAAATTTAAGTATCCCTTTCACTCACATTTATTTCAAGTTGGTATCAGAGCCACCAACCCTAACCCTAGCCTCCGCCAAACATCGCAACCAGCAAGCAGCCTCCATTCCATCGAAATCAGCAACCCCATCAGCCCCCAGCAGCATCCCAATGTCCAGTAGCCTCACCCACAAACCAGCAACACAACCGAGATTGCCTCACAACTGAGACTGTCTCACCTACAAACACCTAGCGACAATCCAGAATAATCTCATGTGCCCAGACTAACTGAACAACTGCCTAGTCCATATCACTGCCCAGCACAGACAAATAACACAGACCAGCACCGACAAACTATCCAGTCCATATCACTACTCAACATCGATAAACAGTATAGACCAGCATCCCACTGACAGCCACGCAACCGATTAGCATCCCACCGAAAAACAACAATTATATGTTACCCAACGAAAAACTCAACCCAGCGAACCCAACTGCCTAACAAATCAGCAAAGAACCAATACAGCCATTAACAACCACAAACCCACAAACCAAATCGAAAGACATATTAAATCAGCCCAGCAACCCAATAAACCGAACTCCTACTGTTGGGTCATTCCAGACCAGCCTAGCAATCCAATAAACTGAACTCCTATTGCTAGGTCATTGTCCAGCCCACTGCTAGGTTGCGTTTTTCACTGTGGCTTCGTCCTAAGACTTTTTTAGGAGGGAGTGGATCCTCTTCTCCGGTGGTCTGTTTTTGATGCAATAGATCACTTATTTATCTTTGTTGGATTTTTGGGCACCGTGATCTAATTATTTGGGAGTTTTCTAGACCTTCTTTATCTGTCGCTACTGTTCAACTGGAGGTATATTATTCTCCCTTATTTTGTCCCTCTATTTATCTTAGAGCTTTTTTCTGTCATGGGTGCCTACGTATTGTTATTGTTATGGCTACTACTAAGAGATTTGAGACCTCTACTCTTAAGACCTCTGCTGTTAGTACTTCCACCTGGAATGTCCCTCTTGGTTTTCGTTGGTGTGATTATTGTAACCGACCAGGCCATCTCCGGGCTACTTGCTGGAAGATCTATCCGGAGCTTAAGTCGCCTCCTCGCAGCCATACTACTGCTATTGTTGAGGTACTACCACCTACAACCGTTGTTCCTCCTTGGCAAAGTAATATGGATGTTATCATTTCTCAATTGAATATACTTATGTCCGCCCTAACTTCTCAGGGTCCGACTACTGTTACTATCACCACTATAGGTATACCTCGTGCCTTTCATGCTTGCGCCAATCCGTCTCCCCTTTGGATGCTGGACTTGAGTGCGAATGGTCATATGACAAATGAGACTCATCACTTCACCACTTTTGACGAGCAGTTACATACACAGGTTCAACTAACAGATGAGACACATGCCCCTATTGTTAGTAGGGGTACAGTCCGCCTTCTAGATGACATTACATTATATTCGATTTTTTATGTGCCAAAATTGACTATGAATCTATCATCTGTAAATTAGTTAGCCAGAGATTTTTACTATGCGGTTGTATTTTTATCCAATTCCTGTTATTTGCAGGACCTGAGTACCAAGAGGATTATTATCAGGGGACATGAGAGAGATGAATTATATTATCTAAATGATCCACCTCCATCACATGCACTTGCTTTGTCTTTATATGTTCCTAACTTGCATGCTAGTATTTTGCTTAGTACTTGTCGTTATAATTTTTCATCACAAACTATTCAGTTGTGGCATGACCGTTTTAGGCATACAAATTTTAAATATTTATGTATGTTATTTTCTGCTTTGAGCAATGCTTGTATTGGGTAAACTTGACTGTGCAAATCAAGGTAGACCTTAGGAAGGCCTTCGATGTGAAGGACCTTGGATTTCTACGATACTTTCTTGGGATTAAGGTTACCCGTTATAGCAGGAGTATTATCCTTTCTCAGAGAAAATATGTTATGGATCTTCTCTCAGACACTAGGATGCTGGGGTGCAAACTGACATTATCACCCATGATTTTAAACCTGAAGCTTACTGCTGAAGGTGAGGAGTTGAGAGATCCGACTGCCTATCAGAGGTTGGTAGGTAAACTTATTTACCTAGCCAACACCAGGCTAGACATTTTATTCACTGTCAGTCGAGTTAGTCAGTTCATACATAGGCTGTATCAGCCTCATCTTGATGTAGTTTATCATATTCTTCGGTACCTCAAGTCTTGTCCTGGACTTGGATTGTTCTATATATCAAAATCTCAGACTGGTTCTCTAGCCTGTTATTTAGATTCAGATTATGGGAGAGCATGTGACGGTCGATCTACTATGGGCTTCTATACTTTTCGCGGGACTCATCTTATCTCTTGGAAGAGCAAGAAACAAACATTTGTCTCTCGTTCGTCAACAGAGGCAGAGTATCGGGCACTAGCACTAGCACTGACACTTGGCACATGTGAAATTATCTGGCTACGATTGATTCTTGGCGAGTTGGGATTTCCAATGACTTCTTCATCTACATTATATTGTGACAATCGATTTGCTATTCAGCTCGCTTTTGACTTTGTATTACACGAGAGGACGAAACATATAGAGGTTGATGTTCACTTTTTTCGAGAGAAGGTTCACTGTGGTATTGTCACTCCATTGTTTATGGGGACCAATGATCAGGTTGGAGAAGTTTTCACCAAACTTGTCATTGTATCCATTCTTCGGGACTCAGTTGTCAAACTTGACTTAGTTGATATGTTTGCGTCTAGTTTAAGGGGGAGTGTTAAAATATAATCTAGTTTATTAGGGTTTTTTTTCCTTTTTATATATAGGGGCTCTACTCTTAATTTGAGTATCCCTTTCACTCACATCTATTTCAAGTATTTTAGTTTCAAACATAGATGGGTGAACCTGGTCTATGTCGAAATTGCTTTCAAATAAAAATGGATGTAGCTAGGGAATAGTAACATGTGGAGTACATGGTCAATATGCCAATCATAATAATGAGAAATCCCTAATCCTTATCTATCATAGCTTGATTATAGATAAATAAAAATTCATGCTACCAAGTCAGAAAAGTTCTCACAATTTCCTTTTCTAGCCAGAAAATTACTATTCTTATCTCCAATTTGTACCTTTATTTTTCATTTTCAAAAAATAAATTAATATATTACAGATGTTCTCAAACAATTTTCTATGGAATATACATTTTCCAGATAAGGTTATTAAAATGGTGGAAGCCGTCATAAATAATTATCTTAGGAAATGAAAGAACTTAATACTTACTCAGGAAGATGCTCGTATGCAGTCAAAACGTTCCATACTTCACAAACTGGAGCTTTCACGGTTATGCTAGCAACAACACAGCGATGAACACCTCCATTTTCCTGCAGCCAAAATGGATTTTTTAAGCAAGACAGATAAAACACAAGGGGTTTACCAAAGGAAGGTAAAAAAAAAAAGGCGGAATGGGAATGGTAAGAGTCAATCATTTACCAATAAGCCATCAAATCTACGAAGGTGGACTTCATCCACCATGCAAGCGTGATCAAGTTTGCAAGTTTTCCCAAATACTCCCCAGTTATTGTTCAACTCACTAGTAGATTGGGACAAGGGACCAAAACCAGAGCTAGAATATTTTTTGTTGAACTCTCCAAGAGAGAGTATATTATGGTCCGTTACAGCACCGTGAATGTCTATTCTATTGGATGGAAGCGAATCAATAGATGTTGTACCCAAGGAACTTTCTGCAATGAGTACATTGTGGTTCCCTCCAAAACTTCTTTCAGCTCTACAAGCCAAGGCTTGAAGATTTACTGGAAGATCTGAGCAGATAATTCTCTCCAAGAAAATGGCTGGGAAGTTGAACCTTGGTATCACATTAACTTCGTATGATAAAGTCATAGGTGAAAACCTGCAATAACATACTTATCAGAGTGGAAACTAGAGAACTAAAAAAAATATGTTCAGTTAGTCGCATTCCACTTGTTTTAAGTACACTGAAGGGAGTGAGATGACTGTTCTGGAAAAGCGGAAAATAGTTTGACCATGCTCCATTGCACAAAAGTAGGTCGTTTTGTGAATGGATGAAAAGAAGCTTTTGAATGTTATTACTTATTTGACAATAGAGTTCTAGCTAGCATCATGGATATGACATTTTCAGGCGTTTTAAAATCCAAATGCAAGCAAAATCTCACCAATTAAGTCAATCGGCCTCAAGATCTTTCAAGCATTTTTTTTTAAGGTTTTCTTGGCAATTAGAGGGTAACACACAATGGCCATTTAATGAGGAAGTTCATCTACCATCCTAAACTAGGAAATAGCTTAGACAACCTAATTCTCATTATGTGTGGGTCATCTTAATCAAAAGAAGTATCGATCAGCCAATATATATTCATGCCCAGCAAATGAACTTTGAGATAGGAGCACACATGGACTTTTAGATAACTAAAACTAAAAGTAACACTATTTTCCGATTTTAGGAGCATAAAAGGTATCTAGTGGTATGCCTAATATGCAAGGGAAACGATTAAACATCAATAAGACTCAAACACAGCAGGCTACCCTCCTAACAAGGAACTAAATTTTGTTTCCTGCAATGGTCGAAAAGTTTTGGTTCCACGAGAACCAAAACAAATCAATGATTAAATATCAACATTCTTATGATTCGAGGATTTTCGGGGTGTTTCAATATATTTCAAGGTTGTTCGGTATGTTTTGACATGTTTCAATTAGTGTTTCGGAATGTTTCAAAACATATTTCCAAATTATTTATTTGTTTCCATCAGGTTTTCAACTTGTTTCTAAAATATTTCCGAAATATTTTCAAAACGTTTTTAAAATATTTCTGAAACATTTCCATTTTCAAGTTAAATGACACTATGCACCAAAATGAAATTTTTGATCCTTGCCTCCTAAGGATGACAATATATCTCCATATCAAGGTGCTATGGTTCAAGAACTCTTCTAACAGAGATGTAAATAATTATTTAGCAAACCTGCTCAATATGTCCCCACAGCCTAACAGTTTAATTTAAGTTTCTGTTAAACTCCAATTGCTCTAACAGCTTAATTTTTATAAAAGTTGGTGGTTTAACATGGTAGCAAAGGATAAGGTTTTGCATTCGAATTTTGCCAACAACCTATTAATTATAATTCTTGCACATGTGTGGCCCAAAATCTGGCTCGCATGTTGGGGGCATGTTAAAGTATGAAATACTTATGTTACACTCTCAATAGCTTAAGCTCTCATTGAAAGTAATGAGTGTACTAAACTCCGTGGATGCAATTATCCTACTGTTAATAATGAAATGGAATATATATCTGAAAGTAATAATAAAAAGTTAAAAGACTAGAGACGTATGTGAGGAAGGTCAAAATTTCCACGTGAAGTTTTCACTAATCCTATGGTCTGTGTCAGCATCAATTTTTTTTAACAAACTGCTAACATGGCCCCAGGAGGATTGCACCTTTACAACAATGAACCATACATTGCCAGTAATTGATGGTTAAAGAACCTCATGTATAATGGTAAGCATATTTTGGTTGTATCCAAAGGAATGGTTAATGATAGTATTTTTTATTCTGTCTCATACAACTGCAGTTCCGAAAAATAGTGAATAACAAACACTTCGATAGAGCGACTGAATACGTTGGGGTCCTGTCAAACAGGGCATGCATTAGACATATTAAAAGATGGGCAAGACAAGCCTTGACATTAAATAGTTCTCTAAAATATCTTAATTCTTCTAAGACAATGACTGAATCATGGCTGGAAGGGACATAACAACTGTGGATTAGGGGCTCTATCAACTCCTAAATGAACATAATTGTAGCAATTGCCATTTACTGTTTTTTTCTAGAAAAAACCCAACAAAAGTTAAGTCAATGTAATCTGACATAAGCATGACATAGTAGTTGCAATGAGTTTGGAATTTAAGCCGCCTCTGTATTTAGCTTTATGACTTTCTCCCTTTGTATTCATGTATGCATCATGCGTACATGGATTGCACTCCCTTGGGGCTCTGTATAGATATTTACGCATATGATAATATACACAATAGATATAAGTGGGACATAAAATCTGCTTCCTGTTCCATGACATGCAATAAAATGAAATATGTAGCAGTTCTAAATGAAACTCAGAAGCAAAATAAATATGATCATCCCTGAATGTTAGCATCATCTAGAGGTTTTGAGTAACTGTGTTGCCAACATAAGAGACCTAACTACATGCAAACTAAATATTTTCCATCTTGGGCCTTTCTTTCCTAAAATAGATAATAGTATTTTTCCAAACTAAAACCAGTGGAAAGAAACAATGGAGAGGAAATGCTGAACAATAACATCGTCACTGGCAATTTGATGAAATCATACGTAAGAGCGAGCATTCATTCTACCTTTCACCAGATTTTAAAGACCATTTGCCCTCAAATTTCTTGAAATCACCATCAACCATGGAAAAGTGGAGTTCACGGTCATTTGCCTGAATTGAGCAACTGCTAAAAGTCATACATTGAAGCAAGACAAGAAGTGCAAGAATGAGAACTAAAAATTCCAAAATCACAACTTCCATGGTGATCAAGCACAACATGATACGTGGAAACCACACATAATAATAAAGGTTAAATAAGCTATCAAATTGCCCAAGAATGGTGATCGCTGTTTAATATCCACACGAAAAGGTAAACAGACCAATGAACATTAAATCAATAAACAACATAGTTTAAAATGTAGGAGTACATGTCTGCAAATGACCATAAGAAATATGACCAGTTCCCAATGAAAATTTTGTTTCATGAAAATAAGGGGGAAGAGAGAAGGAGGGAGCATCAAAATTATATTGGAATAATTGTCTTTGAAATCCAAGTTAAAAAAAGGGCGCCCAATGCACGAGCCTTCCGCCATTGTGTGGTCTAGAGAGAGTCAGATGCACACAGCCTTACCTCCACAAGCGGAGAGCTTGTTTCCACGAGTCAAACTATTAAACACAAAAAAAAATTCATATGTAGTCTTTGAATCAGGTGCACACAAAAAACACAATTGGCTCTGTTTCATATTTCCAAGATCACATGCAATACTACGTCTTGATAATTCAGTAGCAAAGTTTACCCTATTTAGTAACGTTTTTAGTATAAATATTGCTTGCCAATGTCATCAGAATACAATTATATGTCCTCCACAGAGAAAGGAAAATAAAGACAACTACAAGTATAACACAACACGTGATGTACGGATAAAGAATACATGGAACTAACCATATGAAGATCTACCACCCAGATGATATTGGTTGCATGAGAGCAAAATGCAACACCATTACCCACCAGTTTCATTATAAATTCATCAAGACATATTCAATACAGGAAGAGCTTCATCATTCTATAGATAGAAACGTAACCAGATCATAATTGGAACCAGTGTTGAGTGTCCATAGCGCCCAGGAATGTATTTCATTATGTCACCTTAGATTGCCCAATCATGCCATCAAATTTATTCAGATGAAAGATCCCAAAATTATTTGGAGACATGGAGAATTCATACAACATTTGTAATTGAAGTGCCCACTAAAATGGCATTTTACATTCTGCCTGGCTTTCCATGTCTTGCCTTCATGAAGGCCACTGATTGTGACGCATCAGAATACTCGATGGCAAGAAAAAACTACATATCCTAAAGTAAATGACATCACATAATTAAGTCCTAAAAAATTAAGGCTAAACAAAATAAAAAATTAAATTAATTGCGAGTATTGTGGCCCCTACCCCACATAGGTGCGAAAGGCAGGTTTCTTTGTTCCCTTTGAGTTTGGCTAAGAAAGCCAGGAGGGGTTTGGCTCCTTTTTAACTACGAAATAAGTGAAGGATCCTCCAATTCCTTTTCAAGGGTGGGGATCTTCCAGTTTTTGTTTTCCTTCAAGCCATTAAGTTCAAGGCCCATTTGATGATTTATGGCAACTTGTGTCTCTCTATGGTAAAAGGTGAAGGCCATCAAGATTCACTCCCTTTAGCACACTAATCCAACCTATCATATGTTTCATCATTCCAAATGAACCTCTCTCTCTCTCTCTCTCTCTCTCTCTCTCTCTCTCTCTCTCTCTCCAGTTAACCGCACAGAACTATAAATCATGCAAGACTGTAAGTTTATTAGTAAACAGAACTATTATCAGTTAGATTCTCTAAACTATTTCAAAAGAACTTTTCTTGAAAATAGGAAAAAAAAATCGCAACAAGAAGAAACTAAAACGAAAGTAGAAAGGAGTTCTTGCTATATAACAAACGGCCTAATCCTCTTTTTACGTCACACTCTGAGTCTTGTTGAAGACTTAGATGGTTAAGCATAGAGTGCCAGTTTTCCTCGATGCAAGGAGAGGAATTAAGCATATTGCATAAACAAGAGACAACTGAAATTATTAACTTTGAGACCATTTAAATTATTTAGGACCTATGCATGTGATTATAGACAATAGAGAAAGAGAGAGAGGGGAACGAAAACATATCAAATTCCTAGAGTTTCAAGGAACACGCAAATATGATTTATAAAATAAAAATTGCCAGTAAACTAATGCTGATTATGTTACAGACGCGGCTCTCTGTGTATGTTAGTGGTTGGGGAGTGATCAACAATATCTTCAAGAATTACAAAGACAAAAGCTAAGAAACAAGCCAATATCAACCATGCATCCTAAATGGTTAAGGTATACAGGGGCACGCACAGTGCAACATTTACTAAAATATTGCTCATATATCATGACCTGGGAAGCATGGATACATATACGATATATGGGTTCGATATAATATGGAAACGATGGTACAACAAAACCAAAAAAAATAAGATACAGGTATGGCTAGGACACATCTATAAAAATATATATCTTATATTTGTACTATTATATAATGACTTGATAGCTATAGTTTTTAGTGATTCTTTAACAATAATAAACAACATTAACAATTTTAAATTTTCAAAAAAACCACCTATTATCTCATTATAGTACATCTACAAAGTGAACACGATTAATTAAAAGAATAAGAACCAACATTTAACTACATTATTTGCTTAAAAGTGTTTACTGCTAAGAATATAGTGTAATAAACTCATTTATACTCTTTGAAAATGTGATAGTGAATAATACTTTGAAAACATCTATGTGCCTTCAAAGTCAAATGGATTATTGTTGATGTATTGCATTGTATGTGAAATAAAAAAGGAGGAGGAAAGATTAAACACATCTATGCATATAGAAGTATCTACGAAGTATCCATATATTTTATTTATTTTTTGATACATGTTGTGTGTATCCGATGCGTATCCTCAAGTATCCAACGAGTATCATATCCGATACGGATATATCGATCTTAACGAAGCATCCGTGCTTCATAGATCATGACCATGCATGCACACAATATCCCCCCTTCCTTCCCTTCCCTTCCCTTCTCTCCCACACGGAGGTAAAATGCAGACTATAAATTACATATATTTGCATTTTCCCAGTATGTTTCCAAATTAAATCCATATGAATATAAGGTTCTCGCAGCAGTCCCAATTGTATTGAGGTTCAAGATGCTTACTGAATTGGGAAATTCTTGGAGATCCAACACAACACGAGCCTCTATATGCCAATAAAGTGCTCTCTGCAAACCTCTCTGCTCCAACCATATCCGCCCTGGGTGTGGACATGGAATTCTCCCACTGATATACAAGTAATAAACAATATTAATTTAGAGGATCTAATCAAATCCCAGCACTAAATGGTTTTTATAAAATAGCATGAAAAGTCGGATAACAAATGCAAAGGGAGAGCCACAGGTGGAGCCAATGAGCGAAACCTAAAACTACCTCATAAATTAAAACCATAAGCTAACATTATTTTGACAAAAATATTATTTCTTAATCTTTTTTATAAGTGCAGTTTCATTCAAAGAATGCCAGTGGAAGTGAAACTCTTATGTACGATGTACAAAGGAGCCAACACAAAAGGGCCCACATGATCATTATGACTTTGGTCAAAAAAATGTCGTATGTCACTACCATCATCATAATTTTTTAGCGTTGAGGCAGTTGTTCCAATTTTAATTTCTTTAAATGAATTCATACATGACTAATTCAAAAGTTAATTCATGTAGTTAGACACAAACATAGTACTTATTATTGGACCATTTCTCGATTTGTGCGTGTCATCCTTGTGTAGGGGTCATGCTAATTTTCTTAGTATCGTTCCAATTATATCGAATGTCCCCGAAGGGACTAGTACTTATTATTGAATTTTTAACCATCAACACATAAGAACTACTAATGACCAATATAGATAGAATAGGAACAATTTAATCCATCACAAGCAAATTTTACAAGTCCAATCAATTGGAAAAAATTAATCAAAAATACAATACATAACATAGAAATTCCAAATATACAAATTAATTTACTAGAAGAAATGTAATGGAAACAATGTGGAAATTCAATTCGTCACAAAACAAGAAAACTTGAATTTGAAGCAATCAATCAGAACAATTTAATCAATTACAAGCAAAAGAAATCCATCACCACCATAACAAATGGAGAAAATTCAGGTATTTTGTATAGAGTGTACAAATGTTCTCCCCTCCCCTGAATTTTTTGGTTTGTTCAGAAATTTGTAGTGCCTGCATCCCCAGCCTAGTCTACCAGCTCGTAGTGGCTCTACATCCGATCGCACTTGGTATGTTCACAGTTTTAGGCTGCAAACTTGAAGCCTTAATTTTAGTTTGCATTGAGAAATAGAATGAAGCAAAGGAGATGAAAGGGATATGGAGAAAAAAAATAACAGATAAAGCCAAGTTGAAGCGATCGACCACAATAATCAAAACTCATCACGACTCATTAACAGATGGTCAGTGATGACTGGCGATCTTCAAGACTTCAATCACAAGTGTAACCCGTGGGTTGTCTTCATCAACAGGGAAGCGATCGACCACAATAATCAAAACTCATCACGACTCATTAACAGATGGTCAGTGACGACTGGCGATCTTCAAGACTTCAATCACAAGTGTAACCCATGGGTTGTCTTCATCAACAGGGAAGGAAAAGAGGAGGCGATGATGATTGGAATGAATCGATTCGCTAGTGTCATTTCAGAGTAAAGAGAGTAAATTGGAGATGAAGAGAAGAACATGGCATTGAGTCAAGGCAAGTTTAATTGTTTATTTTTTAAAGAATTCCACCTATTATATAGAATATGAAACTACCATAATATTTTCACAAACTTTTCAATGGGGGCAGGTTGTAAAACATTTTAAATTTCTCAAAATTTTAACAAACCCCAATTTTTTTTAAAAGAAGCGGATGAAGGTGGTCCCTCTGCAAATCCGCCCTTGGAAATAACAAGGTCTTTATCTTGTCAGATGTTTAGAAGTCACCATTACATCAAAGGGTTTTACTTGTTAAGTGGTTATAATAAGAACTCAATGAACAACTGAACAAGAATGGAAAATTGCCAATAATCTCTTAAACAATGTCACATTTGCATAAAATAGTAAAATACCTCAGAATTTGTATGCAGCATGCCATTTATTCTTAAATGAGACACCCACGAAATGCAAGTTAGGCCCAACTATTGAGATGTGTCTAGCTGGTAAGCTCCAAAATCCAAATATATCGACAAATTCAAAATTCTAGAAACAACAAATTTTTGTTAACTACTTATAAAAACAAAACGTACGTTTTATGATTTTAATGAACTCCTTAGAAAAGAAATAATCATATTAGAGAGCAGCACCAAGTGTTCCCCACTCAGAGTGACCCTTAAATCTTCAGCCTTTTACCCCCTCCTCACCAAAGAAAAAAGAGGCATCGAAATAAAAATTTACACATTTTTTGTAGTAATTTTTTTTTTGGGCAGGCGCTATTATAGGGTAGGGGAAGGGTCGAACCCTCCAGGGCGTGGTCATTAGGCCAACCACTGTTTTTGTAGTATTTAGGATTTAAAAGTTCACATGATTCTTAACTAAGAAAAAAACAAATAGGGAACTTCAGGGAACACAATTGGTCATGTTAAATAGCAACACCAACTGTTCACCATTAAGATTGAACTTTAGGTTCTTCAGCCTTTGCTTATCCCCTCCTTCCTCCACAAAGAGAAAATGGTTTCTTTCCTTCTATAAGGTAAGCAATGTTTTTGTTTTTTTGTTCTTCTTGAATACAAGATTGAGAAAAAAAAAAAAAAACCCTTCATTTTTTCTCTATTAAACAAACTTAAATCCACAGAAAAAAAAAAGGTACCTTGGAATTTTACCTAAATACAAGATTGGGAATGAAATCTGCAAGCCTTTCATAGTCAGTAAGCGCATTCCAAACCGATTCAATCTCGGCATTTACCAGTATTTCCGCCTTAATTCGGCGTTCCCGCCATGAAATGACTTGGACGTCGCACTGAACCTTTCTCTCTCCTCCTCCTCCACCTCCTCCTCCTTCTCTTTCTTCATCATAGTCATGCTCGATTCTGGGTTTATTTCCATTTTTGGCATAATTTGCTAGATGGGTCGTGGAATTCCATTTGGGTCTGTCAAGTGAAGCGAAGAGTATGTAATTGTTGCGAAAAGAAAGATTGGATTGGTAAAAACAGAGTTTTCTCGGAATTGCTTTGAATGTGAAGTTGGTAGAGAGTGAAGCACAGCTAAACTTTGAAGCCTTGCAGGAGATCATTGAGAGAGAGAGAGAGAGGAGTGTGCTATGGTGGAAGTGAGTAGTGTCTTACAGTCGACCGTTAATTCATAACCACGAAAACTGTTGGTTGGAAATAAGGGGCTCGAAACTTTCTGTTTGAAGGGGTTTATTAGTCATTTCGGCCAACGTGTGGTGGAAAATGAAAATGAATTAAAATTAGAGGACAATTCGAACGGTTTTGGAATGGAATCGGTTTTGGGTCCAGCCGAAGACCAATAATTTGTCCAACATTAAAAAAGCCCAAGCCCAATACCAATATGGTAGCCCAAGCCTAATCATTCTAAGAATGCTTCAGCCCAAGCCCAATCTTTTGTAAAGCATGAATGCAAAAATATAAGCATAACCAAACCAATGATGGATCTAAACTTCTAACCAAAAATAAATGATAAATTTAAACTGCACGTGGATTAGGTCTATTAATTGATCTGAATTCAAATCCGGTTAATCGAATATGAATTAATATATTTTTTATCGATAATTCAAACTCTAATTTGAATTCGAATTTGGATATACCTATATCTAATCCAATCCGAAATATGTATATATTTATGATTAAATATGAAAGACATTAGGATTGAGTAACTCCTCAAATTGATTTTTAGTCCAACTCAGTACTAAAAAAATAAATAAATACTCCTGGTCGATTTTTATTTTTTTTGTGACATGTTATGGTCAAAATAAAACAATAAACTATCTGTAACCTTAATGCCAAAGCCACACAAGGTAGCCAAAAAAAAAAGGTTCAGCTTTCAAAATCAACATGAATTAGAACAGGAGTTGGGAAATTCACAAGTCAAAAAAAAATAAAAAATCAGCAACACTATTTTTCCACCATTCAATAACAAATTTTCAAGTTTCCCTCCATCGTGCTTGTGTGTAGCCCAAATTGCACCTATGATTCAAAGTATCGGCTGATGCTAATGTGAGTTGGCTAAATCATATCAGTCAATATCATTCGAGCCGACATAGTTATATTTTACGTATAAACCCTGAGTGTCACACGATTTGTCCAAGAGTCATTATCGGGTCAATCTCGAGTCGTCCAGTTATCATTACTGAATTGATCGATACGGTTCCATGACACTACAATATGATCTAAATATCTTATCATATTTAACTACTTTTTTTTAAGTTTTCACCCAATATCGTGATACGATGGCAAGACTAATGTGTCTCAAAATCTTTCAAATCGATGACCGATATTATAACTTCATACCATGATTGTACCTCCTTTTTACTTAAACCACAAAGGCCTCATTTGGCAATTAATATATGATATAAGATTTATAACAATTAAATGTAATGTAAGAGGGTTATAAATAGTTATTGAAAGTCAAATATATATTCAATAACTCAAATACAATGAAAGGCATTGGAGGTCAGAACTAGCTCACGTCCCAAGGCATTGTTCACTAACCTGGCAGATGCATTGACCTTACTGTAATAGGTCCAAGAGGTATGAACCTTCGATCACAACGTCCCATATCCTGTGACAAAAGGAGTATGACATTTCTTTCTAGAAAGTCTATATAGCTTTTAACTTAAAAAAAAAAAAAAATCATTCTTTATGAATCAACTATCTTTCAAAGGGTGGACTTGTCCATTTTAGTGAGTAGGAGAAGTTCTTTGTATAGAAATATTGGAGTCATGTTTATCATTTTATTCTATCGGTTTGTTCTAACTCAAGAATTGTGTATACTTGTCCTTTGTATTTTCCTAAGTAACTATAAGTTGAGAGGGAGAAGTAGGGTATTATTTTAAAATCCGTATCTCCTCCGGGGGTGGCCCGAGACATTTTGGGGCTTAAAACGAAAATAATAAATGAGACCTTTTTTATTTTTAATATTAATAATAAATTTAATTTTTAATTTTTTTAAATACAAAAATATTAATTAAATTTTTATATTCAATTTTTTGTTATCATATTTGAACTTTATAGTAAGAGAGAGAGAAAGAATGATTGAAAAAATGGTAAGTTTAAACTTGACTTTTTCTAGGGTTAAAACTAGATTTTTTAATAACTTTAGTTTTACATTTAGTTTTTTTTTTCTTTATTTAAAAAAATAAATTTTAGGGTCTTTTAATTTTACAACTGAATTAATAGGGTCAATCTATTTAAGTTGATATCGTTTGTTTAGGCATGAATTTAAATTTTGGAAAATTTAAATTCATTCCCCCTATATAGACTTAGTTGGAGATAAGTCTACTAAGAAAACTTATTTGGTTTTAAGTCCATTTTTTGTCAAGTTTACTATTGTATCCCTACTCTTTGGAAAAATAATAATCGATGTCTGATTTACCGTTTCCTTCACATAGATTAGATCATTGAGGTATATATGGAAATCCTTGAGTTATATATGGAAATTATTTATTAAATAATATGATAATTAATTGAAGTTTTATATGGAAGTTATATATTATAATAGTTATATATGGAAGTTTGATGTACGAATAAATCGTTGGTCTATTAAGTCAAAATCAGAGTACAAAATTTTCTTAATAATTCAAAAATTTCTTAACATTAATGTTACTATAGTGACACTAATTTTACTATAGTGACACGAATGTTATTATAGTGATACGAATGAGATTGTTTTTCTTAAAATACTCAATTTAGTAATAATGAATCTCAAATTTTAAATTAGGAATGCAAAAAATAAAAAATAGACAGTTTGAACTATATATTATGTAAAAGTTTTTAAAAACTTTACAAATGAACATCAACTTTTTTGTAAAATCACATACCTTAACTCTATTTCTGAATTCCAAAGTTGTTTTAATGCAAAGAATTAGTTCTAACTTTGTCAATAGATTCTACAGTAAACTTAAAGAGTAAAATTGAAATTGGGGTTGAGTTTGTGTCACTATTTAAAATGGTGAAATTCTTCATTTTGGATATTAAATATTTTAAGAAAAACAATCACATTCGTATCACTATAGTAACATTTGTGTCACTATAATAAAATTAGTGTCACTATAGTAACACTAATGTTAAGGAAATTTTGAATTGTTAAAGAAATTTTGTGATCTGATTTTGAGTTAATAAACTAACGATTTATTCGTACATCAAACTACCATATGTAACTATCAAAATATATAACTTCTATATAAAATTTTTGTTAATTATCATAATATTTAATAAACGATTTTCATATATAATTCAATCAAGGATTTCCATATATATTTCAATGATCTAAATTATATAACTTTTCATATCTGGACAAAACTAACACCGTTAGAGGTAATTTTGAGATTTAAAAAATAAGTAGACTTAATTATCTACATACAAGTTTAAACATGGACTTACCCCTAAATAAGTTTTTTTTCAAGACTCAAGTCATTATAAGTCCATTTAGGGGGACTTACCTTTAATTTTCACTTAAAATTTTTTGTTTGGCCTATTACTATACACCTATAAATTATGGGTCTTCCTTGAAGTGAGGCCTTAAATTTTTTTTTTTGATTGAACTTGTATTTTTATAAGGCTTTTTTTGTAGTACTTAAAATATTTATAGATTTAATTTTTTTACATGGACTATTTATCATATTTAAAATTTTGGGGCCCTATTTAAAAATGAGGCCTAAAATCCAAGCTTTTTTGATAACACTGTTGAGCCGCCCCTGATCTCCTCTCATATTGTTTTCTCAATTCTCTATCTTCTAACCTTAACATGGTATCATAGCAAAATTTTCAAATTTGATAACAAATTTGTTCATGGGATCGAATATTGAGCCTTTTCTCCTTGACCCCTCTTCCTGTATCTATTCCTAGTCTATGTTGGCCTTACCTCTCATTTTTCATCCTTCTGAACCGTACAAAAAAATATATAACAAATGCTTCAAAAATTTCATACGATTCTCAAATCTCATATTATCTTCACTATTATGCAGTAGAAAATATTGCATAAGTATTTATAGGTTGTTGAAATTGAGCACGTTAGAAATAAAAATGTTAAAATAGATGTATTGTAAAATTATAAGCGATAGAGTTCAGAATGAGAATATCCATGAGAAAGTAAAGGTAATACATATAGGCGATAAATTAATGAAGACTTGACTTAAGTGATTTGAACATATCTAAAAACAGTCTACTATTACACCCGTGAGAAAAAAATGATGTGATAATTATTGGTGAAAACAAACTAAAATTAGTTTTGAAAGCAATAATAAAACAAGATATGATAGCTTATGATTTAAAAAAAAAAATATGAGCAACACAATGACGAAACATGATTCATGTGCCCGACCCCATTAATATCGTGACAAGGTTTTTGTAAAGTTGAGTTGAGTTGTGTTGAAATTTGCCTATTAGTACTAATAACATCACAATTGGGAAATCATATATCTATAATATAAAATAAGACAAATTTCAATAAACTTATTTGACGGTCTCAAATAAACTCATCCAACGACCATCAACATCTCTCTTAAAACTATTCACATTGTACCGTATATTCAGATACGAGTTACCCTTCGTGTAAACATAATTATGGAAGGAATAAAATAACCTTAACTCCTAAAACTAGTAAAAAATAAATGAAAAAATTGACAGTAGCTTATTAACCTTAAACTAGCATACAATAAGACTCACTTGTAAACCTCAAAGTGATTGTATAAACTACAAAGCACGTTCCATGCATATTATGCTAAGTTCCAATTTTACCCTTTGTCTCCATTCCACATCATAATCGAGTGGAACTAACAAAGTCAAATTTTATTATTATTTCAATTTTGTCCTCCAAGCATGTATCACTTGACAAAGCACGATGATGAAAAAAGATTCATGTGGATTGCTATGCTTTATGTATACATAATTTCATGACTTAATATTATATGCAATGAAAAATATTAGAAATATTAGCAATTATCCGTACCTGAAGATACTATGCAACAAAAAAACAGCAATTAATTTGTTGTGTCTGTAGCACTATATAACTCAAAAAAATGTCTAGTCTAAATAATATCTCTTCGTAAAAGTCTAAGATGCCACCACCACCAAACTCTTCTATTTCTTAGACATTCCTTCCAAT